ACAAAATCATGCAAATCCGCAACAAAGCAAGCACCACATAAACTACCTGCAACAAGCAATACTTCATACCAAAGTTCAATGGCTACAGAAACTACTACAAGATCAGGTAGGAGAGTACACTTTCCGGATAGGTACGTAGCTACAACCATACTTATCTAGCCCAAATGCTACAAATTGTTCTCTATTTTTATTAACTGTTCTTTAACGGCCCCACGGATTTTCATTATACTTACTTTTAACTTCATGAAATCCTTATACACTACAAACTGTTATTACAACTTAACGCTTACTCATCACATCGGATTGTACATTTATTTCATAAACAATTTTTTTTTATCACTTTGTCGAACATAGATGTTAATAAAAAAAATATCTTTTTTATAGAAAAAACATCTACGTTCTGGATGGGAGCTTATGTAGCAAGCCCATTAAACTACTGTATTTTTTATGTGCTCTCTGTAATCCTAACATTTAACCCATTGTAAATTTATGTGTGAGTCTGATTGAGCGCATGTCTGCACATCAATCTTTAATCTATTCTCTCATTGGTTGTAAACAAAGACAATCAATAATTTATCCACAATCCATTAACACTCAAAAATATATATGGATTTTTAACACTCACACACACACACACTTGCTTTCCCTGTGTGCTTGCTATCTGTACGCTTGCGGATTTTACCGAGCTTCATCAATAAACTATCTCTATAACTGGTGTTCAGGCTTTTGAATAATCTCGAGTAAACCCGTAATTCTACTAGGAGATTTAGCCTGCAGTAAAATATCAGTTAGCGGGATATTATTTATTTATTGGAGTCAGATATAGAGGAATTAATCTTCTACAAGTCTTCAACGACACTGCGGCATGCCCGAGAAGACAGTCAATATTATACGCAATTCTTATGATGGATTAAACTACAAAATCGTCCATGGAGGACAACTTATTGACTTGTTCAAAGTAAAGACCTGTATCAGACAAGGTTGCTTACTCTCACCCTTTCTCTTTCTCCTGGTGATCGACGGGATCATGAAGACGTCAACATCTAAGGGGAAGCACGAGATACAGTGGACAGGCAGGATGCAGCTAGGTGATCTAGACTTCACAGATGATGTGTCCCTTTTATCACACACGCAACAACAAATGCAGAAGAAGACGGCTAGTGTGGCAGCAGTGTCTCAATATACACAAAGGGAAAAGCAAGACTCTCCGATACAATACAACATGCACTAATCAAATCACACTTGACAGAGAAGCTTTGGAGGATGTGGAAACCTTTACATATCTGGACAGCATCATTGATGAACACGGTGGATCTGGTGCAGATGTGAAGACGCGGATCGGTAAAGCAAGAGCAGCATATTTACAACTGAAGGACATCTGAAAATCAAAACAACTGTCAATCAAAGCAAAGTCAGAATTTTCAATACAAATGTCAAGACAGTTCTACTGTATGGGGCGGAAACCTGGAGAGCAATGAAGGCCATCCTCCAGAATATACAAGTGTTTATTAACAGTTGTCTATGCAAAATATTTCGAATCCGCTGGCCTGACACTATCAGCAACATTCTACTGTGGGAGAAAACATACCAGATTCCATCCAGTGGAGGAAGTATTCAGGAAGAAGCGATGGAAGTGGATAAGACAAACATTGAGGAAATCAACCAACTGCGTCACAAGGCAAGCCCTGACATGGAATCTTGAAGACCAAAGGAGAAGAGGAAGACCAAAGAACAGATTACGCTGGGAAATGGAAACAGACATGAGAAGAATGAACAAAAGCTGGATAGAACTAGAAAGCAAGGCTCATGACAGAGTGGGTCGGAGAATGGTAGTGGGCGGCTTATGCTTCATTGTGGGTAGCAGGCGTAGGTAAGTAAGGACTCCTAAGAAGGATGCATCTCAAACTCTACCGTACCTCTCAGTGTTTTGGTAAGCTTTTAAAATTTAAATCAATGATCCGGTACCCAGCGTTATACATGCCTAATTAATTCATTAGATTTAGACCTATAAATAGTTGGATGCCTGGTTAGTGGTTTAAAGGTTACATGCTCGCCACGAGACCTAAAAGTTCTGGGCGCGTGATATAAAATACGGGATTCTGATTGCAAAGACGACAGTAAAACTAACTCAATATTGCTATGTTTATAATTTTTCCTAAAGTAATGAAAGACAGTGAATGCAAACAAAGTAAAAACTGTACACTCTGAATTTGTAGACTAAAACAGAAACAAAATTAACCATAAAATTATAATTTTGTTTATTCAACATAAAGGATACTAACCAGTTACCGGTATTTTAGCTAAATAGATAAAGGGTATACATGACAGAATTATCAATTTAACAAATGAAGTCTTAATTGTGCTTCTTATGTCAACATAATGTACATATTACACAAGCGCTAATGGTGATAAAAGATAACAACTAGTGTGCTAACACTATGATGAGTCATATATATCAATGCCAAATATAGTAAATACGTGCTGAATATGAGACATTTTTCTTTATCGAAAATGAATTAATTTACCCACCTACACAAATGCGATAGCCAAATGGTAATACCATTCAAATAATGTTCATTTGTGAAGGCTTGTTTTTATCTCGTCATTGAAATTTAACGTTGAATTACGGTCAGTTTCTGTTAAGATAATATCTTAAATACCAAGGATGGAATGTTTATAATCACTAAGAGTAACAATATAACTGGTTAAAGACCAAGTGGTCGAATGTACTGAGTAACTCCGTGGATAATGCGTTGGGGTTTGGAACGAAATGCAGTAGGTCTAAATCTTAGTGTGATGAACAACATTGAACTGTAGACATATTCAACTGATGAGTCCGAAATACTATCACACGCATACCCTGGATCCCACTGTTAGCTTCAATCCAGATATATTATTCAATAAGTGACTCCTAATGGAATTACTCGTCAAAAAACAATGACTATAAGAAATTACAAGAATAAATTCGTTTGAAGAGACAGGAAAAACTCTCCAACAAAAAACCAAATGCTCTTTTTTCTGTTATTGTATGAACTGGAGCAAATATGAATGAAATATTATAGTCTATTATAGCATAAACTAGGCGTACTAATTTCGTATAGTAGCATCCATGTCTCTATGTTCTTAGAGCAGAAATTGGTTAGACGTAGTCTCATAATCGCCAACATAAGAAAACTAATCAACATTTGAATTTAAGATTAAGCTGATGTTTCAAACGAAATCTGGTTTACAGTCAGATTTGAATCATAAACCACTGAGTTACCACATAATCTCTGTATTTAAGAAAGCACAGGCTCTAACACTTGACAACTTAAGTAATCAAAACTTGGTTGTTACATGATGAATAACTAATATGGAGATCTCTGGTCTCAATTCTTTCATTCTTAGATATATGCACTTTCCTTTAGAAGAAAATGTTGTTGGTGTTCTGTTCATCATTTGACTTCACTTTTATCTACCTTGTCCGTCAAGGAAATAACATAATTGACTGATAAAACATGGGAAGTGTTGAAATGGATAAACTGGCGATTTTAAGCATAGAATCAATCAACTAAACAGTTTAGAACACAGAACCATCGTCTAAATGATAAAACGGTCAATCAAGATAAAAGTTATTAAAACATATTTATCAAATGAAAAATAATTGGTCATTTGCAGAAAGAGCCAATGTCATTAAACAATCAAAAAAGGTTGTCACACTACATGTCAAATATTAGTCAATCAAGTAGCATTTTCCGTAACACAAACCTTTTCTATTAAACGGGACAGGAATTGGGAAAAAACGCTGCTTGTTGTACATCTCAGTTTAATATTTGGTAAAATTAGATAATTATGACGTTTAATGAACAGAAAAGCAAATAATATTCAACTATCAGCATGAGTTTGTGGAGGTCGCTGCATTTCATTGAAATGACAAACCAATATCCGTTAAAAAAAACATTTAAAACCTGGAAGCACTAGAAAGGAGTTTCGCTCCTGTCCAGTTGATGGGTCGCGGATGTACATTGTTGACGAATTCTATACTAAATTGAAACGACCATCTACTAGTTTATTCTTATTCAAACACATAAGTATTGGTACAAGGAAGCACCAGATACGTATGCGCCACACAAATTTCATTTAATTTGTGTGAGGGTTGTGATACTGTCCAGGTGCCCAAACTGAAACAGGTGGTTTTCTTAAGAGGCCACACCCGGAGCCTTCGACCTAAAGGTCTGATCCACAAGGTAGTGGAGCATCGTGAGGAGATGCAGTCCCATGGTAGCCGGTGACCAACAATTGATTCATACGCCATTTGTTCCATCAGGATACTGGAGCCCATGTGCACCATTGGTTTGGAATCAGGGTTTTCCAACTCCCCTAGGTGAACTTTCCGTGTCCACCGTCCCAGTTAAAGCGCCGGACATTCGGTTTTCATCCTCTCAATTTCGTAAACAACAGTAATTCCACGAGAAGACAGTGAGTAGTACTTCCCTGGTACAGGCTGTATACGCGTGGCCATGTGAGAGCATTTCGAGAGGGAGAGTGGACTCTCCCCACTCTCGGCCGTACCAGGGCATTCGGGGGCATCTACTACGTCCATGTTTTCAGTAGTTGTCAAACTTATATCAATTCGTCATTTCAAATAAAATAATAATTAAACCAATCAAAAAAGTAACCAATCATATGTGAATTAGAAAACTTAGACCTTGAAAACGAAAATATACTATTACCATACACACCCACGGTTAATAATATTATGTCATACAAACCTATAAAAACGTATTAATTATGTTCACTGACTTATTAAAATAAACAATTATCAAAAACTTACAAAAAGAGAAACTGATTTTTTTCTCTGTATAAGTGAGTACCATAACAACAATTGAAAGAAGACACCACCAGATAAACATTATGAAAAGTGATATATAAGATTGAAACTTAATTCATCACTGTAACAAGAATATATACTATTATCAAAAACTTGACATACTACTGAAATTTATACTATGAGCCAAACAATGAGTCAATTATTATTTATTGTATTATGTTTTAGTAGTAGTCTAATGATGATTATCCAATCAATTCCATATCATAAATCATCATTACCATTTAAAAAAATAGATTCATTGGAAAACTTTAAGAAATTCTCAATCACCAAAGATAATCCAATGGAAACAATCATGAAAAATATACAACCAATAATGATGAAATGGAATCAACAACCAGGTAAATTTGATCATTTATACATTGTTAAAAAATCCATAAATTATGCATTAAATAATTATACTATTAAACCAACATTTTATCAATATGTTAAATCATGTTGTAATCGTGAAGTAATGAGACCAATGGGTGGTGGACATATGACTGGACCATGTTGTAAACAATTAATTAAATTTAATCATTTTATTTGGTTATCATTTCCATGGTTTAAAAAAACATTAACAAAATTAACTACTGAATAAGTTGCTAATACTAAAATTAGTAATAGTATTAATATTTCCAATGGTTACTACTTATTGTCATATAAAATCTATGAATATCATTCATTACAATAGTTATGATTGAAGAAGAAGAAAACAAAAAACAAAAAAGACATTCAATGCGTCAACATACATAAATTGAGTACTTTTAGCATAATAAAACAACATTATTCATTGAATAAATCGGTACAATTATTAAACATTATCTTGCATTTATTGTAAAATATTCTGTCACATACATACATACACACACACACATCCTGTCTGTTGAAACACGTACAAAGAGAGAAAAAGAGAGAGTGGATGAGGAAAATTTGAAACTAAAATTATAATTCCATTTAACAATATGTTTGTTCGTTTGTTTGTTTTAATCAGTTTCTTAAATTCGAAGATTCTCTTTTCAACATTTTGATTTTCAATTGTCCTATATATTTTTTTCTTGTTTTTCGGTTAAGTTACACAATGAATAATATAAGCAAATGATAATATTTTCTCGAGTTTTTTTTTTTTCAATTTTGAACATACTACACATCATCTTCGTTCGCATATATATACTACTAAACATACTATTTAAGTAGTAAACTCAAAAATGACTTTAGAATAAGATAAAAATGGAAAAAACTTAAAGAATCAAGTGAATTCATCATTTGGTTTCTTTTTCGTACTTCTATAGGGGTGATGACATTTAGTCTTATTTTGTAAGTTCTATTACTGTCTATGGTCTTTTACCATATTTATTGATTAATAAATACCTGAAATTTAAAATATATTGAGAGTTATTTCAGTTTACCAATGTTTTCTTTTCTTTTTACTTTTCCTCACTATTTCCAAACCTTCTCCGGTAGACTGTTTCATTTGGTAACATTTAACTGTCAAAACATTTTCTTTACTTGTACATAAATAAAATTTTTAAAAAAAAAGAATAGTTGCATTTTTGTATATTGGTTTTTCAAAAACAAAGTATGTAACGCTCATCAGTTGGAATGAAGGTAAACAATATGTTCGTATTAGACTAAATTACCATAAATAATTCTTCATAGTTGAAATCATGAATCCATTGAAGCCAGATCACCATCAAAAACCTGGAAACACTGGACGGCCGTTTCGTCCTTCCAGGTTTTTGATGGTGGTCTAGCTTCGATTGACTCATGATTTCAACTAGAAAAAATACTGAAATCTTTACAAAATCCCTTCTGATTACTATAAATAACTTCAATTAGTCATGTTAGAAATGAATAAGATATTTTGACAAGTGAAGTAAACAGTTTAATTTATATAAAAAAACAACAGCGGTGTGACATACTGAAATTAGGGAGCAGTAGTAGTATCGTTACATACCTTTCATATAACGAAGTAATTATTAATGTTGTAAAAGTTGTGCTTTTAATGGCACAAATCTTTATTATTTTTACCCAGTTTAGAAAAAAAAACGAAGAAAATAGAAAATACTTATCGATATTATTAAGATGATGAACAAAGTTTATCCATGATAATAGATTTGCTGTGGTATAAAAATTGTTTCAATGTCACTATAGCTTGAAAAGGACTACTGAAAAGAATAGGACACTATTGTAGTGTGAAATACGTGCTTAACTTGCTGACAGGAAAAAAAATCTCGACAGTGTTTACAAGTAAAACAGGTACTTAATCAAACAGTCAGTCGGTCAGTCACAACGTAGAACTCCTTACGTACGTACATCAGTTCGAGTTGCCATACCACATTAGCACAGAGATGCAGTTGTCGATTCAAATCCCATAATGGTATAGGTAGTAAGAGTATAAGCATTGTGTGAAAGATTAGGGTCTGAAGATGTTATTAAAGGAGTATAATCCAGTGAAATAAATTTGGAAAGAGAAGAAAGATAGAGACATGAAGAATTCAGAAGATTCAAATTTGCGAGAACACAAAGAGTGGATGCACCTTCGCCATTGCAAACGATTTTGAGCAATGTCATTCAAGATCTCTAACCATCGGTTGTTGTCGTCTCGCGAATCCCAACCAGGTAATCTACACCTACCAGCATGGCTCAAATAGACAATTGATTAATTCATGTTGATTCTCATAATTTTACAGATTACTTACTTAATTGATCTTAGATAATATTTAATGACATATTTTTCAAGTTTTATAACCATCATTTTAAATATTGAATTGGACAGACAAAAGAATAAACAATCCCAATCCGAAAATTATTGTTGTGGTGACTGGAATTCGGTCTTCCCACTAAAATTCCGTATGTGATGATTGTAATATGAATGGGAGGAGTACTTTTCTCCATAAGTCATCAGATAAAGATTCGTTGTTTTGAAAGCCTAGAAAATTTTATAATTTAAAGTTCATTGGGTTTTAACTCAAAATAAAACAGTTAATTAACCATTATACAGGGAGGATAATAAACAGTATGGGGACTATTACTAATAGAGCGGTAATCTTCATCATAAAAACATTAATGAATGTGAGAGAATTGTACAGGCCTTTTCCAGGTATACAGTTGAAAATGTCATAACTATCATGGTCTCAAGAAGTTTTAAGGTCACGACTTTCATACAATTCAGAACTTCGGTATATGATAACAAAGTTACATTCTAGATTGACTAAAAGACTAGAAAAACTCGAAATAACACAAGGACTATGTGGTGTTTTATTGTCTCCACTGTTGAACAGAAACGACCTGCTTCTCCCTCTTTTCATATATATATATATATATATATATATATATATATATATACGGTGGCTAGCATTGCTGGTGGGCGGCCTATGCTTATCCATGAGGGATCATAGGCGTAAGTAAGGAAACGAAGTGCATGGCCACCAGTTCCTGCCATCTAGATCTATTTTCTTGTTTGTTTCAAAAGACTATTATGTGAATTAATCGCATAACTTATTCAGGTGCGTTTGTGAAAAGTTTCCGACCTTTCGCTGTACAAGTTAGGAAAGACCACAATCAAAGACACTGTGCTTGCTGGCAATATACATAGAAAAAAAATGTACATTATTCAGATGTCGATTCCTGAACTGCTAACATCTAATTGACGATCACTAAATATTTATTGTCACGATCGGTCAAGAAATAAGACACGGAAACTTGTTCAAATATTTGCGCTGAGAATTCTATGCTATACCAAAAATATTGTATTGAATAAAGCTAATAATAATAATAACACCAACTGGTAATAAGCGAGTTTTTTAACCAAAGTCATTTAAAGCAATTGATTTGACAGATAGAGTGATCAACTATATGCAGACTGAAAAAATTACACGTACATTAACTTCATCAAAAACACTAAACCGGTATTCATTTTCCTTAATCATATAAATTCCAAAAAAAAAACGATTGCTAAACCTAAGACCCTACTCGTCAAGCAAACCAATCTACATGTTTCATTAAAGAATTTATCTTTCTTCTTGATTAACAGCAATTGCTATGAGACCTCATAAAAAAAACATTTGAATCAACGCTAAGTATGTAAGACTTCCTCAACGATCGCTGAAATGCTAAGATCTCAAGAAATATCTATTCACGACATAATCAATCAGAAACAATGATAAACCTATTTTACAGAAATCCAACGGACTGAATTACTAATAGTTCATACAAACTATAGTGGGAAAATAAAATACCAAGATTAAGTGACACGTAAGTTGAAATGATAGTGTCAATTGTTGTGTAACCTTAAACAGGAGATATATTTTATGAAGAGAGAATAATTGATTAATTACTGAGCAGTGACCTTTGTCATGTTTCCCTAGTCCTTTAAGTGTTGATCCAGAAGATAGCATCAGAACTCTCAAGATTATTAAGGTATTTCGCTGACGAGTGTCCACAAGCACAAAATGTAATTCGGAAAGGTTTTCTTAGGGATTAGTTCAAACCACCTAACACACTATGATATTGTGGGGAGAGAAGAATAGGAGGATGGATAAAACAATATCTAAACAACTATTAACAATACGGAACAATATATTCCCATATCGCTATTATATATATCATTCAAGGTCTTCCACTATCCACACAATATCACAAAAAATGCTGACGTGTAGACAGAACACTGTGGAATTGTGGACAATAAATTTGTCTAAAAAATATTCTTAACTATTAAGGTACACCCGAACAAACGGCAAACAAAAATACAAAATTAACTAGCACAGCCTGTGAAGTAGCTTAGGTGCCAACTAACAATATTTGAAGACAATTAAAATAAAACTGAACACCGATTAAAAAAATGGTTTATCTGTCCAACTCCACTATTGTAACACAGAACACCGCTCCATACTCAGTAGTAAATAAAAATATGGTGAAAGAAATTTCAAGTGTTCTTAGGTAATAAGAAAGTAAACTGGATGGTCAATGCATGAAAAGCGATAAAGGTCAAAGAATTGTTTGGAAATTCCAATCTTTTAAACAATATTGACTTAGAACTAGGGAGTGAAACCAGTATTAAACTGATCGAGAACAACCATTTCAACATAATCTATGTAAGTATAATGGTAAAATCAACCATCTACCCAGTTAAACTCAAATTTTGGCGTTTGTGACACATCACATCAACGCTTTTGAAGTAAATTTTCTAAGTAAAATGAGTGAGTCAATGGCTGAGTACTTAAAATCGCTTGGTTATTAGCCACTAAGTCAAAAGTTGTGACAAAGTTCCGCTTTATTTCTATAAATGAGTAGTAGTGTCATGAACACATACAACAAAGACGTATATCAGAGTTGAGCAACCGATTCTGCAAAATGGTAAATGAATTCTAGTATGTTTATTTTTATGTAAATATTTACAAACAAACTATCCTATTAACTTCAAATACACAACAAAAGTAAAGTGAATTACATAGTCAAATCATTGCTGTTACATTTGGCTGCTTTCAAGGAAATAACCATAAAAACCCTAAATATTTAGCAACAATTTTGCATGGAGAAAATCTATAACAATAAATATTTAAATGATATTTTCTTTTTAATAGCTGAGATCATGAGTCA